CCAGCAACTCTGAAGCCTGAGCATTATGGTTTCAATGTATGGTATTCCCAAAAAAGCTCATGTGTGAGACAATGCAAGAAAGCTGAGAGGTTAAATGATTGGGTTGTGACAGCTCCAAACTAATCAGTGCATAAATCCCTTGTTAGGGATTAACTGGGTTGTAACTATAGGCAGGTAGGGTGTGGCTAATAGAGGTAGGTCAACAGGAGCATTTCTTTGGCTACGTATTTTTCCCTGAAGAGTGGAGCTCGCTCTCTCTGCTTCCTGATGCCATGTCCTGACCAGTTTTACTCCACCACGATCTTCCACCATGATGTTCTGCTTCATCTTGGCCCAGAGCAATGGAGCCAGCTGTCTATGGACTGAGACCTCTGAAACTGAACTCCAAATAAACTTTTCCTCCTATAATTGTCCTGGTCATGTTGTTTTGGTCCCAGCGGGAGAGGGGAGGGGAAGCTGAATAAAACTCTAAGGGAAGATGATCACAGATACTGGGCCAGCTTTGACAACTTAACAAGATCTTGTCACAAAATAAAATAGGATAAGACTGCGGATGTAAATCAGAGGTAGAATGCTTCTGGTAAAATACTTCTGCTTTGATTCCCAACTCCATGTCCTTACAGTAGGGTTGATAGCTGCTCTTCTATTTAGCAAAAGATGAATCTCTGTCATCTCAGGAATTTTCTTCCTTTCATATGAATGGGCTGTTGTTGGCCATGATGGAAAAATCATTTTTCTACTACAAATGCATCATTCTTATCAAGAATTTTCCCCTAGATGCTGATAACAGATTGACCCTTAATCATTAGTTTTTCAGATTTTGGTGTATTTGTCTCTTTCTAACCCTCGTAGGTTATTTTTCTGGAAATTGTGAGAAAACATTCTAGCTTTGTAGATTTTAAAGCAGATTTTTTTAATTAAAGAAAATTAAACTATATTTAAAATTTTTGTTTCTCTGAAAATTTTTGTTTCTCTATACACTTCTTTCCAGGGAGTGAAAATATAAAGACTACAAAGCAGAGAGTTTTCCTTGAAAGAGCACCCTTATATCAAGACACTTGAAATTAAAGCTCTAAGCTAAGTAGTTGTGTTTCTCATACTTAAAGGAAATAGAGCTGTTGTTTTATCAAATAGAATATGAAATGGAGTCAATCTGTTATTAAAATCTAGAAGAAAATTATTGATAAGAATGATGCATTTGCAGTAGGAAAAATGTTTTTTCCATCATGGCCAACAACAGCCCATGCATACTAACAATAATATTGAAATATGTACTCTATCTTACTGTTTTCCTCAATCTACCATAACCACTTTCACTCACTGATAAGAATAAAATTAAAATCGGACTTGAAATACCTTGAAAAAATTGTAATAATGATAAAACCCCAAAGATTATGAAGTAACAATATTGTAATATTGAAACAAAAAGATATAACAGAGCATTGAGAAAGATTTTTTGCCCTTAATTGCTAAAGAAAATATAGCCAAGCCATTTGTTCATCTTTACTGAGTGGTACCTAGTGGATTTAGTCCATATCATAAATAATATCTAGGTAATAAAGGGCTTTCTTAACCTTTTGTATTTCTAGAGAGAGGAGAGAAAAGGAAAATGTGTTTCTGAGTAGAACTTGGTGATCTTTATACAGGTGAGAATTTTGATATTCATATTCAGTCTTTTTGGTCATCCAGAAATCCAAAATAATTGCTTAAATAAATAAAATAATCAATTGATGACACCATGAATATATATAAATTTCATCTAAACTCTGTCTTTCATCAAATGTTTTAGTCAACTTTTTTGCTACTATTACCAAAAGACCTAATAAGAACAATTCTAGAGGAGGAATAATTTATTTGGGGGCTCACAGTTTGAGAGGTCTTAGTCCATAGATGGCCAACTCCACTCCTTGAAGCTAGAGGCAAGAGCATCATGATGGAAATGTATGGCAGAGGAACAGGGGACATGGCACCAGGAAGCAAAGACAGACACTCTACTGACCAGATATGAAACATATGCTTCAAACCCATGTCCCCATTGACCCACTTCATCGAGACACACCCTACTTGCTTTCAGTTACACTTAGTTAATCCTTATCAGGGGATTGACACATTGATCAGGTTAATGCTCTCATAACCCATCATTTCATCTCTAAACTTTCTTGCATCATCTCACAGATGAGCTTTTGGGGGACACCTAAATCATAACACCTGTAACAATCTGATGATCCATTCTACAAGGTTATTATAAAATTATTTGGTGTAGTAAAGTGTTGAACTCAGCCTGCTAATTGACTCTTTTACCCACTAGCTCATGGCCTTGTGCAAGTTATTTAATCTCTATTTCTCTTTCTGTAAATGAGATGACAATACCTCTGAAGAGTATTACAAAAACTATAATGACCAAAATCTAAAGTTTATACAACAATGCCTAAGTGGTCATAGTTATTAGTTATAGATATGGTATAATCAATATTAAAATATATATCTTTAAGTACCAGTCTGTTTAGTTTGTAACCAAGCATCAAGAATAGAGTCTGGTGCTCAGTGGTAGGTTAAGGTGTGTGACCCACTGTTACTTGACTGGTGACCTAGAAAAAGCAGCTCTGTTTAAAGAAATTCAAATTCTAAATGCTTTTAAACAATGTAGAAAAAAAATTACTCTGACATTCTGTCTTGGTTTCTGCTGAGAATTCCTAAATGTCAAATTATCTGCCCTTGAACAAAAAATTTCAGTTACTGGAATTTGGATACATGAGAAGTCCCAAGTTTAAAAAAGGAGAATTAGCATAAAAGACCACCGGAGTACTTGACCTCCACCTATGAGGTTGGTATCAAGTACAAAAAAAAAAAAAATAGATCCAGATAGAATTGAGAGGATTAGCCAGGTTATCTGAGTCAGAACCAGAAACCTCTTTTGTTAGTGACTCGGTGATAGAGAGCTAGTTCAGGCAGCTACCTGCTATAGGGAAGAGTTGAAAAGCTTCCAATGCTTAGAGATGTCTTGAAAATGGGATAGAACATGCCTCGCATGGAAAACACTGAATCATATTAGTATATTTTTCTTGACCTCTGATGAAGAGTAAGAATCAGGAAAAAAAAATTAGACCATAGTAGTCCTTCTGAATGTTGTTCACATAAATTGAACATTTTAGGTATAGATAAAATTGAAGTCCTCCCCCATTTTTATTTTGGTTTTTGCTGCATATTATTAGGAACTTTTATCTAGATTGAATATCACAGACTTAGAAGAAGCATTGAGTCTGTTGGTTTCCACGGCTTGCCTCAAAGAAACAACTTCACCCCACACTAGGAAACTGAATCTACTTTTCCACATTATCAAATTTATGTCTGTATGCTGTTTATGGTGTTTGTAAACCCTAAAAAGTGTTATATGATACTGGATATTGGCAGGATTTTTTTTTTTTTTGGCTGTAGCATCTGTTGAGAGTGTCAGAGTACAAATTTAGAAACTTTATATATAGCCAGTTCGTCATCTTTTCACCAACTGATTTGCTTTAAATTTATCAAGTAAAGTTACATTTGTTGGAAGATCTTTCCACATAAAATACAGACACCAGATACAAAATAGAGGTATGTGCCTGATATTACTGATCCTTTTAAAAGACTTGGCATTTAAATAAAATATGAAGCTGGGTTATGTAAGATCTCCAATACCACTAGTTAGTACATTACATAAAGATTTGCATGCTGTAAAAACTCAGTATTTTCTCAAATGAAATTACTTTCCATGCTTCATAACAACATGTTTTTATGACTGATATGGTTATAACACAAGAAATTTTAAGTTATTTATATTGTAAGTAGTTAAAAGATTTATTTCTAAGTCCTGATTTTAGTTCATATAATTCATACCTATACTTTTATACACATTCTTAATGAAAATTCTTGATTTATTAAATCAATGTATAAATTGCTGCATCTAATTTTAGAAAAACTTTCTGTATTTTTACTGAACTAAAAAATTTGATATATTTAACAATTGCTACTTGAATTTGTTTTTTTATTAATGAAGCTCTTAAAGTCAATGCTGCTTATGCAATTTCATTTTAAATTTATTATAGGTAGTATTCCATAAATGGTTATAATTATATGAATAACTGCTTTTGACTTATAAATTTACTTATTTAAAACAAGAAGTTTATTAAATAAAAATAAAGATTAATATGTTGAGTTGAAGAATCATATCTGTTCAACTAAAAAAGTCTCTAGTCTCTAATTTTTATTTAGAGTTACTATTACTTTCTAACAGCTTCTTTTTCCACCACCTCTTTCTCCTCTTCATTTTTTCTTTTACCTGGTAATTCTGTCCTTGAGATCTAAGTCAAAGTCATGCATTCCTCTTCACTCCAAGAAGTGAGTAGAAACAATGTAGAGAGAATGTAGGAAAAAAAAAAATCCATTCCATTACTAGTATTGTGCCTTCCTCCCTCTGACTCAGTGAGAAGCCCACGTACAACATCTAAGAATTAGGAAGTAGGTTTGTAGAGTTTTGTTTTTACTCTGGAGAAAAGAGAGGCTGTTGGCAAACTGTAAGTCTCTAGGAAAATCAAACTCAGTCTCAATATTATTTTCAGCTATTTACTTTCTGACTTTGGTGTGTGTGTGTGTGTGTGTATTTTAAGTGAAAAACTGACACTGCTTAAGAGAACACTTTTCAGATGTGTACCGAGTTTTAAGCTTTTTCTCTTAAACTACTAAAAATAGGATATTTGGGGAAGAATGTTAGTTCTTTTAGGCCAACAAAAGTCAATTTAGTCAAAAGTCACAACCTGAAGATATTAAAACTCCAGAAAAAGTAGTTCAAAGTAACACATTTTGTAAATGACTTTCTAGCATTTAGTTCCATAATTCTTTTCACAATACTTAATTTCCTCTTCCAAAGAATACCTTTTGATAGGAATTTGGCCATAATTATATCATCATGTAAGTGTCTCAAAAACTTATGAATTCATGAACTTAAAAAACTCCTTATTTTTTAGGATGTCAAACCTGGGACAATTTGACACTGACTTTTACCAATCTAATTATACCATTGATAATCAGGAGCAAAGTTATAATGATTCTAATGCCTATGGAAATCTTTATGGATCAAGAGAGTAAGTATTTTATATTAAGTCAGTATACACCCATTTTGAGAATTGTTCATATGATAACAAGGGATTTCAAGTAGAAGAATTTCTTTGGGAGAAGACAAGCTTCTCCTTACCATATCTCAGTAAAGTACCCACATTGAAATAATAGGAAAGGGCAGAGAAATTAATCCAATTTTCTGTGAATGCCCCTTTTCACTTGGAATCCATGCCAAGTTAATATCTTCTCTCTCTATTGTTTTTAAACTAGCACTTAAGAGGGCACCTGAATGCAAGCACTAGGCAAGTGCTTATTCCTTTTACCTGATCTTTTTCAAGACACTGCTTGCAAAATAGATTTCATCTAATTTAATAAAATTTTAAGTGTTTTACTTTGTGTCTGAAATTAAGACTATTACAAACCAAAGATAAGGGTTTACAATGGAATCCGTCGTCTTCCCTCACAAAATTTGAGATTTTATTTTTGGGAGTTGGGTAATTAAATATGCATTTGTAATATACAGATAGTAGGAAAAATGCTATGATGGAATCATCATGAATATATTTCACAATGTATTCATTATTTGAGATAAAATTTGAACTTGAACTGAAAATAAAACAATTATTAAGAATTAAGTATTTGCCTTTACTCATGACAAAGTAATGTATATACAGTGAGGAGCATCTGGTTCAAGTTCTGCCTTTACCATTGGTTGTTCTCATGACATTGGGAAGACTTCTCTGTCTTCATCTGAGACATAAGGACATTACTCATAACAACTTCATGGAATTGTAATAAAAATGATTATGATGATATGTAGGAAAGTGTACATTTAAAAACACAATTTAATTGTTATATAAGTATAGTTTTAAAAAGTAATTAATAAGCCTTAAGTCACTTAAACTTACTGTTTATTTGGTCATATTATTCTTTTCCAATGATGTTTTATGGGTCTGTTAGTGAACTAGGCACTTCAACTTTCATAATAACTAAATTTACCAGGCAAAACTTTCTCTGTTAGGAACAATTATAAGCTTTATAAATTAATTCACTGTATCTTCAAATAACCTTATAAGATAGGTACTACTACTATTCTCATTTTACATATGAGAAACTGGACACACAGAGAAATTAAGAAACTTTCTCAAGGTTACTAATAAGAAATGGGGTTAGGATGTAAATCCGGTGTTGTTTGATGAGGCCCACAATGATGGTTAACATATGATTTGTTGTATAATGAAGATATATTAGCATAAAATGGTGCTGTTAATAATAATGGTGAGATAGTACTAATAAACTGGACCACTATAGGCAAACTAGGATGTGTGGTGTCCATGCCCGTCCAGAAAATCTAGGCTAAATAACCTCACAACCAAGATTCTTAAAGGCTTTTTAAAACAAACAATAAAAATTACCTTGAAATCTCCAAATGGAAAGACGAAAAGACAGAATAAATATAAGAGGCACTGGGAAGCTCTTCTGTTCAACTCTGCTTGGGGAAATTTGGTCACTGTTTTCATTGACTGATCCATCCTACCCACATAGGCAAATGGATACTACTTTCACAAGCTTCTTCCTAGCCACACTTGCTGAACCATGCTCTAAGGATAGGGAAATGTATTGGGATTTATTTACAACTGTAAAAGTGAAGTATCTGGAATTTTATCTCATTCAGATCCCTGTTCTATGTTGTCTGGCATTAGTCAGGTGACCTTTTATGTCTTACACTTTGGAAAGTAAAGTAACATCATAAATGTACTTGCAGCAAAGAGAGTAGTATTAACTACCATCTACATTTTCAGACTGAAAAAATTAAGTACAACAAAAGACAAAAATTTTATCCTTAAGCAAGAACTTATGGATCACAGCTTTCTCCATCCACCCCATCTGACCCAATTTTCTTTCCCCATTTGATTTTTCATATCAACATTTCCCAGAAGTCAAGATGATAAAGAGATGGAAATTAATGTAACCAAATGAGGGCAGCTCACGATTTTGTTGATTGGGGTAATGGCCTAGCCTGTTTCAGATGCTGTTATGGTTTGGATGTAAGGTATTCTCACCAAAGTTTCTGTGTTAATGCAGAAATGTTCAGAAGTGAAATGATTAGACTACTCTCAGTGACCTAGTCAGTCCATCCTAGTGGACTGGGTGATAACTGCAGGCAGGTCAAGTATGGAGGTTGGTCACTGGGGGTATGCCCTGGAAGGGTTCATCTTCCCTGCTGTCCCATTCTTTCTGTCTGCTTCTAGCAACCATGAAGTAAGTGGCATTCCTCCACTGCCTCACTTGGGTCCAGAGCATGGAGTAGGCACACCATGGATTAAACCCCTGAAACCAGTTGAACATCACAATGGAAGTAGAAATTTTTAATTTGGGAAAAACAAAACCTCTAATAAAGTATGTAGCTAATGATTATGTGAAAAGGCACAGAAAAGTGACACTACACAACAAACATATCTCTAAACACAAAAATTATAACTGAGCTTTCTTATGATGATTTTTAAAATATTTGCATTAGAGGATACATTTTAAGTCATATTGAGTCCAAAACAGGTAAAAATATTTCCTGATTGTGACCACCTAAATACGTTAGTGTAAAGTAAAGATAAGATTTTCAAAGCTAATTGAAGTTTTATGTGAGTATGAGTGGTGAAAGGGGGGATATTGAAAAAATGGTGATTGTTTTATAGCTCAGAGACAGAATTCCTGGTATGGGTATAGTGGAGATTCTTCTGATAGGAAAACACAGGATGGGTAGGATATTGTGGAAATTATTTCAGGTGTTCCAGGGAAACCAAAATGTGTAAAAGCTGAAGGTAACTAGTGTATAAGGGCCACAAACTCAGCTCTCTGCTAATGTCAGTTTCATTGAGGAAGGGACCCCAATCACAGATGCACACTATTCCTGGGTGCAAGGAAGTTATTTAAACTGCATCCAAAAGTCTCAGGAAGCAAAGAGCTTGCAAATGTTTAACTAATGCTTATTACTCACTTTTGGGTTTTTTTTTAACTTTTATTTATTTATTTATTTGTTTTTTTTTGTGATTTGTTATAATATGTTCATACATATACACAATAAAACAGTATAATTTGACCAGTTTCATTCCCCAGTACCTCCCCTTTCCCTCCACTCTCTCCCCTGATCCCCTTCTTCTATTCTATATTTTTAATTTATTCTAATTAGTTATACTTTACTCATTTCTCATGTACTCAACACTATTCTAAGTCCTCTACTTATTTTTGCTAATTTAGTTCACAACAATGCTATGACTTCTGTTCTATATTCATCTTACAGATGAAAAAAACTGAGGCATAGAATGTGAAGTGGTTTCCTGAGATTATAAAATGGCAATTCAGTCACAAAGAGTTTCAACTCCATAGGTTGGGTTTGCTAAGCCACACATCTTGGTTCAGGAAAAATCCTATGATTGGAAGATGGTTAAATGCAGAGATGTTAACTCCACAGCCTTAGAAGTAAAATAATGGAAATATGACCAAGAATATTGCTGATTGTTCTAAAGGAGCTTTATAGTCACCTTCTAGTTGTTTCAAGTGGCATTTACAGAAAGAGGAGATGTTTACTAACAAAGATAATGTTTAAATCCTTCAATCCATAGTCCACTTCTTTTGGTCTAATTCAGTAGGAATTTATTTCATCTAGAATAATTTGATGACTTAGAAGTCATCACAGTTTCACTATCTGCCTTTTTATAGTGCTAATAAAAATGCTGTATAATTGAAAACAAAATGATTTTTGGTACACTCTACAAAATCATCACTGCTATGTGGGGTACAGATATGATGTACCTTTAAGGTCTTAAGTATTGAGTGTAGTAATCTGACATTATTTCTAATAGGTTAATCATTCAGTGTTATAGGTAATAATACTGAATGATGTTATAGGTAATACAAAATTTCCAGTCCTATTCTCTCTGTTTTTTTTTTTTTTTTGTGTGTGTGTGTGTGTGTGAAAAGATATAGAAAGCTTAACATATATCACTAAGAATATAAAAGAACTTGCTGGTGTAGCCATTTTGAATTGGCACAACCTAGTAAAACGGATAATACCAGAAAACATGGGACTAAGTAGATTCATAGTATGTGGTTAAAATCATAATTCCTCATAACACTTTCAGGAAAAATGCCTGAAAGACAATTGAGTTATTTATAGAGTGTTTGGGGGTAAAACTATGAACTGTTGATGTGATTCTTTTGGTATCACTTCAGTTTTGTTCATTAAGACGTAATAGTAAATATTATAGTCAATGTTTACGATGTTGAAGTTATAAAACAAAAAAGAATTTTAATTTTTACAGTCATGGAATGTGAACGTGATAATTTTTCTAAATAAATCATTTTGACTTTTCCTCAAAATGGAAAAATTTTAAAATGCTCACTATCTTAAATATGTGGTGGAGAAATTTTAATATTATGCCCCATTATAATAAGGATGAGAGAGACCAAGCTGCTGTTGGAGAAGTTTTACTGGATGAGGGAGCAAAGCAGGATAGAGGAAAGAGGAGGGGACAGGATTTGGCTGGTGATGGGCATATATGTATTTTCTAATGTGTAAAAATGTGTTTTTCCCTTTTGTGGGAGACACTGGGTTAAAATAGCTACCCATGTTGAGTCCCTCCATTCACAGAGCTTGTTCTACAGGTAGTAACTGTGGAAGTTATACTTCCTCTAACCTAGTTGGCAATGCCTGAGCATGATTCATGGTGAAGCCAGGCAAGTATGTCAATGAAAATCTTATTTAGATACATCATTGGGTCATTTTTCTTTGCCCTTTGTATTTTTCTAGAAAGGCATACATTAAAAAAGATACACTAGGGCAATTTTACTCATCAGTTTGTCATTTGTTTTACTGGTACTTTTGATAGTTTACCTACTCTATTAGAAAGAGGGGTGGGGGGATTACTAAATGAAAACTACAGTAATCAGCCTATACTGTGGGAAGTTCAAAAGGTTCCTTACCCTTAATGAGCTACAGTTGAGTTCGTGAATTATTAAATGTGTGTCTCTCCATCTCTATGGCTTTATTTGCTAAAATAGTTATTTTATTGATCAAGTTTATACACATAAAAGATTAAGTGTGTTATTCTTATACTTTATATTAAGATTAATGTCAGAAGGAAATATTCAAAAGCCATTCTGTAAATATTTTAGCATGAGCAGATCACAGTGGGTCACAAAGTTCAAATTTTTGGACCTTATCTTTAGCATAGGCAAAAGACCTTAGGTGAAAAAACTTAAACGTGTTAATGGGAAATATTTTATACTTCATCCCCTGGTAAAAGCTATACACCTATACAAAATTCACCAATAACTTTACCACTCTTTCTTTTCCTTTCTTCCTTTCTCTAGTTCTAGTAAGACATTATTTACAAAGATCAATATTTTCCCACTTCCTCACAAACTGTAAAAATAAATAAATAAATAAAACAAAACCATGTTCAGAAAGGAATTGAAATATGATGTCCTGGCAAAACTAAATTACTCATTTCAAAAAAGAAACTAAAGCAAGCTGTAGGATACATTCATTGATTAGTAATATTTTTCTGGGAATGGCCAGAACTGGACAGCGCATTCCATTATGGATAGTAGGTAGTTCATGTATTTATTATTCCTTTGAATTTGACTATACTACTAAAATTGTGGTTCTCACTTGTTATTTCTACAGATTTGTAAGGGCTTCACAATTGGTGATTGCATCCTCTTGGGAGCAAAGCACCATCTAGAAAGCTTCCATGAAGTGCGTTCAGCACCTGCAACACTTTGGCATGATACTGGGAGAGTCATTTTGTATCCATAAGCCTCTATTTCCTTTCCTATGAGATGGGATTACAAATACAGTTTTAACCATACAAAGTTTTAATTCAGAAAATATAAGGGGCAGTGCCCAGCACATTGTACATGCTCAATTAAAATTGGTAGGTATAGCTCATTCTTTTACAAGTCTTTTTAAGGCCAGTTAATTGTTTTGTGGGATTTTAAAAATTACAGTTAAATTTGAAGTAGGCTACTTTACTTATAAGTAAATATTCATAAAAGCTAAGTGAATTCATAAAAGGAAAATTTATATGTCCCCTCTTGATTTGTCATGATATCCTTTCATTACATGTATAAATATCAGTATTTTCCCTTTTTTAGACAGCAAGCCAGTAAGCAGCCTCAGCCTGACCCTCTTGTTCCTCCAGAGATGCTCATGCCGTCAGGTTATGCAGGACAATTTTTTCAGCCAGGATCCAACTCGGATTATTATTCACAATCTCCTTACATTGACAGTTTTGATGAAGAGCCTCCTTTGCTAGAAGATAAGTTAAGGAAGTGTTATTAATGTGTGCACAGCTCGAAGAATAATAGCAATAATCAGCACTTAATGTGTGCTGTCAGCATGCTGCATACAGTGTTTATGTATAATTGTTTCAGCATAACAAGAGCCTGCCAAACCAACACATGGAAATCATTGAAAATCTGTTGCATGTTTGTGTAGAGAAATTTGGTAGTAGATTTGCACTATTATTATGATATGGCTGTAGTTATTAATGTTTATTCACTCTTTCTTAAATTTTGACTCTCTCAGCAAAGACAGCTTTTGACAAAAGTACTAATACCAAAGCAACCACCCTTCCTGCCCCAATTAATGAAGCACTTTATATTTTATTTTCTGCTATTTGCCTGGGAGCAAAGGGAATAGTTTTTAAATTAATATTTGTTGTTGACAAGCCTGCTTCTCTCCCCTGACTTACATGAACCCTCTCATCTCAGCTTGGTATGACTAGGCAGAGAAAAAAATGTGATTCTAGAAAATGATGCTGCTTTTGAAAAGGAAACCCTGAACACTTGAAACTGAGGTCCCTGGGGTGGGGGGTTCAGAGGTGTATCGATCCATTGATTTTTGTTTTCAATACGTTCAGCCATGCTAAAATGTCAGTATAATACTAGAAACATGTGTATTAAAAAGTGAAAACTCAAATGGATTTAAATTTGAGACCTAAGAAGGTATATTTACTGATTAGCTACTCCAAGTCCTTTGCATGTACTAATTCTTTATATGAGCCATCTTCTTTTTCTGCCTAAAAACTGGAAAACAAAATGAATGATTTAAACCATTCAAAAAGATACCAGAAATTATATAATACATCCATTGGTTCTTTAGAAGCCACTTAAGTTTCGGGGTCAGTTATGTTTTTACCGGTTCATTGTATTTTGTCTCTGCAATTAATAAACACCTAGTTTAATGAGAGTGACCTATAGTGTTATTATTAACTGAAACCTTTACGTTGACTCCACCAACATCTTTGCTTTTAAAAAAACTATCAGTTGTCTAATTGTATCCAGTATATTTGGAAACATGAATGAAAATATAAAAATCACTCCAAATTGAAACTCCAAGACATGATTACCATTTACAATTTGGTGTATTTCTGTCCAGTCTGTGTGCTGGTTTCCTATGAATGGTGTATATATTTTATATGTAGGTATATACACACTTAAAAATGAAATATTATTTTCATTGTATGTATATGAATTTGAGTATTTAAAGGTGAAAGTGTATCATTCCATGGGTATGAAGTTTTATATTCTTTTCATTTATATTTTATCATGAGTATTTCCATAATGAATTCTTAAAAGTCATTAAATATTATTTGAAAACATGATTTATAATGGTTTCCTAATATTCTGGCATAAAAGTACAATGTTTTATACCTTAAAAGTTGTTCCTTATAAAAAGTAATGCTTTGGTGAGCATCGTGCTGAAAATCCTTTGACCTGTACAAAGTCTTATCCTTGGAGTGTATTCATAACTTGAAATGACTAGGTCAACCAAGTCTCAGAAATGAATTTTCCATTAGACCAGTGCAGGAGAATCTGTGATATATCTCTTTTGATTTGATAGGAAGAAAGGAAAAAGGAAGACTTTGCATTTCTTTTTTTTTTTAATTTTTTGTTGTTGGTTGTTCAAAACATTACAAATTTCTTGACATATCATATTCCACACTTTGATTCAAGTGGGTTATGAACTCCCACCTTCACCCCATACACAGATTGCAGAATCACATCAGTTACACATCCATTGATTTACATATTGCCATACTGCATTTCTTAATTCCTAAAAATTTTTGACATTTTAAAAACAAGTTTATTGACCATTTTTACTTCTTCCTATTTTATTTTTATTTTAGTCATATTTACTAGAAATTTTTTAATTTTTTAAATATATATAGTTTAATTTATATAGTAAAGGTATAACTTTCTGGAATATGTATTTCAAACATTTCTTCTTAACTTGTGTTTGCCATCTGATTTGGTCATGGATCATTGGGAAACAGAAATTTTAATGTTTATATTTTAAAATCAAGAATACTTTTGTTGGAAACTTTTCTTTCCAATTGCTGTGTTGCTTAAACTCTATTTCTCTAGTTCCAGAAAATGTTCATACTCACTTATAGATTTTCAAATTTAGGATTATTCTTTTGCTTAGTATTTAGATTTTTGATTTGACAATTGTTTTAGTGTAACATGTGAAGGATTTTACATTAGTTTTCTCTTTAATGATTAACCGATTCTCTCCCACAAAATTTATTGAAAATATTTTTTCACTTATCTGAAATGTTTCTATTGTTAGACTTCACTTCATTCTCCACTAATGTCTTTTTAACTTTGAATAGAAAATATGTTATATTCCCCTTCCCATACATTTATGAATGAATTTTACATTTTTCCTCTTTGTTATCATCCCTACCATATACATACTAGAGAAGGGAGCACATGACATAATCCTATTTTTGAATTTATGAACTATCTAGAGTTTTTGGTCCAGAATGTTCTTCAAACTGGATAGCTGTGAAAGTTGCAAGTTTCATCTGTCCAAAGACATGAAATATCCCTAAGCAGGCTTTCTAGGATGAGGTGATAAATGACATGTGTTAGTTTTCACTGAGCACATACCAAAATATCCTATAAAATTATGAAGCTATAATAATGAACATTCCATGCATAAAAGCATGTTAATTTGAAAATGTGTTCATTTACTCCTCCAGTGTTTACTTACTTCTCAAGGTAATCTAAGACACTCATTTGGTTTATATAAGAATGATGACTTTTGCTTTTTGATAATGGACAGTCAATATGTTAACAAAGGCATTTTCAAGAATAATAGTCAATTTAAGACTGTCAGACTAAAAAAAAATACTGATATTGGTATTTGTAGTACAGCCTGATATTTGTATATAAAGGGTAATGCTACAATTTGCATAGAAAATATTTTATTTTTATAGCATGTTATATACTTTACTACCACTAGATGACAGCAAAACAACAAACTTTGCATTCAAATTTCACAGTGGTTTTTATCTTTTATCTTTTATTTTGTATACAAAGGGGTTATATTAGGGTTTCTACAATTAACACATACTTATCTAATTCCCATACCTTGTAAAAAAATTGTGAACTAAATTTTTATGGATATAATTCAGTAAACAACATAAAATATTTTTTCTTACAAAACTATTTAGTAGATTCTGCATTCATTCACTATTTCAGAATCAATATTGAAATATGTGTAGAATTTAATTATGCCATCAAGTAAATGGTAGAAATCAGTAATGATATTGCATAAATCATTTTCCCTCTCAGTTTCTTCAGAAATAACTATGCTTTTCAAGGAAAAAGGCATTTGGAATCAAAGGCTACTTTATTATGGCAAATATTGAAAATGCAATTAGCATGAATGTCAAAACTAAAAATAAAATTTGAAAATTACATAAGACTCAGATGAAGTTAAGTGACATCATTTCTCAATTTTTAAAGTCTTCTGCTATTTTAAAAATTACATTAGAATTCTAACCTGATTTTAAGGTTGGTGGATTTTATATTTTTCCAAAGTGTCTATTTATTACGAAATATATAAATGCATTGGAAAATAAAGGAAAAAACTTGGAAGTTGAAATATAAATGAGTTGCTCACTATTAATTTAACTAGTCAAATAATTTTTTTTTTGGATGGCAAAGCGTCTAGCAGTGCATGAAACACGAAGAAGAGTGTCTTTCCTACCCCAGTTCAGATCAGTATCTAGCTGATTCTGTTAATATTACTGCATTGTTAAAACATGCCCCTCATCATAGAAACATTCACAGTCCCTCTTGTATGCTGTGTACTTAATGTCAGGTTTGCAAGATATTTAGGTGCTACTTGCCACTATTAATAAAAAAACAAAAACAAAGCTGAGGGCTGGGGATGTAGCTCAGTGGTAAGTCATGAATCTAAACCAAAACCAGAAACAGCTGAACTATACTCAGTATCTAACCAAGATTGCCAAATCCCAGTAAGGAAAGTTGGATGCCACGTACTAATGAATTTAGAAAGATAGTCCTTTACAAGGGAGAGTTGGACTAGTTAAAAAAATATATGTGTATATATATATATGTATATATATATATGTATATATATACACATATATTTTTTAACTAGTCCAACTATATATATATATATATATATATATATATATATATAAAGATTAGATGCACATTCATCCAAAAACACCTATACAGTTAAATGCATGTGCTCTTCAGATTGTTGAATATGCAAAACTGATTTTCTTTCTTTGGATAATCTGCTTAATCTCTCAAAACCTTATCCATCTGATGCATAAAATGGGACTAAAACAGCAGTGCTAACATGTTAATAAGACTAATGCATGTAAATCTTGGAAAGGATCAAACACTTAATAAATGGTAGTTTGTTGCAGGTGAAATGCACATACTTACCCTCGATTCTTTCTAGGATATATCTCACCCTTATTGAAATTTTAAAATGATGAAAGGAAGCGAAAGTTTGATTGCTGTATCCTAAACAGCCAAGCCACATAATTTTCTTTGAATGTTCTGTTTTTCTCCCCAAGATACATCCTAGTTTATAAGAATAGTGAGAAAAGAAACTGATATAGTATCAAAATTTATTTCTATATTCAGTAGATTTCAAATGAATAGATTTTTTTCCAAAAATTATATAGAAGGAGAGGAATATAGTAGTCAAAATTCCTTGGAAAATAGACTATGGAGAAAAGACTTAGAAATTTCTAAATGAATCTGGACTCATGGACATTGATTTTGAATATTTTATTCTAACACTATCACTCACAAAGGGGAAATATTAACTTGTTTTAAGAAGTTAATCTTTAACTATATTGACCTTACCTCAGAGTGCATTGATGTTATAGAAATAAAAACATCCTGATTATTTTTCTTCCTGGAAAGACCTCTACCCTTTTTTCCTTTGTTAAGTTTCATCCATGTGGCATTAAATTTTTTCTCATTAGCCAGAGTGGAATAAAAATCCCAGACCTAGATTGAGTCTCTATGAAGTTCTGCTATTTGAAAAATGATGCCATGGTTGATAACACAAAATTTCAGGAGTGTTAGCAATTGTATACGGGGAAAGGAAATATTTACAGATGCAATAGATTTTTGGTCTGTTAGCTAGAGTTTTAATTTTTACTATATAAGTCTATTTCCCAATTTTAACTGTATTTTAATCTTGTCTTTATTGCATAAATAAGGAAAATGTTTCCTAGATGGAAGTTTTTTTCTCTAACATATTCCTTTAGCTCATATACTTGGGCAACAAAAACTCTTTTCATTTTGTTTTTAAAGATTATTATATATAACTTTAAAATATGAAGATACAACAATAAGATTAAAAGGCTGAGTAAGCTAATCAAATGTGTTAATTTTAGTTAAATAATGTAACTTGTTTTACCCTCTATATTTACATATATAAATGTATATGTATGTGTATGTATGTATATGTGTGTGTATGTATGTGTGTATATGTATGTATATATATATATATATATATATATATATATATATATATATATATATATTCTTTTCTTTTCTTTTTGCAGAACTTGGAATCAATTTTGATCATATATGGCAAAAAACCTTGACGGTGTTAAACCCAATGAAGCCAGCAGATGGCAGCATTATGAATGAAACTGATCTCACAGGACCCATCCTTTTTTGTATAGCCCTGGGAGCCACCCTGCTTCTGGTACTGTGCAACCATAAACACCAGATTTTAATGCTTGTCCTTGCCAGTATGTATTCTGAAAAAGATCTTTGTTAATTAAAAAAAGAAAGAAAGTATGTTGCTTTATGTAGTGAAAATTGTTTAATTTTTTACTTTTTGAAGTGAGAGAGATATTCAATTAATCAACCATAGTGACAAAAAGAAGCTGTTGTAGTGTATGAAAACAGACAAAAATATAAACTTAAAATTTAGAAAAATAAAACCACCAAATCAAATTTTCTTGTTACTAAGAAAAGACTGTCAATCAGGAATCATTTGAAGGAAAACATGGATTTGAGAAATAAAAGTCCTAAAGTTTAGTTCTTATTTCCTATTAGATTTGTATTGTCCCACTGGACAAATCATTTCCCTTTGGTCATTATTTTCTTTGCTGTAGTATATCCTAAGAATATTTCTAACATCCTGTGAGATGTGAGATAGGTCTCCTTGTTTTTGATTAGGCTACTATGAATAAATTAAGGTGCAATGATAAGGTATGATTTGTTCAATCAACCTAACTCTTTTCACTATAATTTTAGTTTTCTAACTTCTATGAAAGCATTTTCTCCCTGACTTTACCATGTGTCTTGTGCATATTCTTTATATTTGGAAGTAATGATATTAAAGGTTATTGAAAAGGTTAAGAAAACCTAAGTTTGGAAGGTCCAGCTCATGTTTATAAAAGTGTTTCATTAATAAAAGGAAGAAGAAAATAGAGATGAGAAAAAAGCTATCATTTTATATCAAGGAGGGAATGACAATACATTAAAAATATAAGATGATTAAGCCTGTCTGAAAATTACAGTTTCATTAAAGCACAAACTGGCAGGGAAAATATTATAGGAAATTAAAGCTTCTAGGAAGAGCCCTTAAAATAGAGATTCATTCTTCTTACTACTATCCACTTCCTATAAAAAACTAATTTTCCCTAAATGTAGCCACAATTCTCAAAAATATCCTAGGATGTATTTGTAACTAAACAAATTTTAACTTTCCATATATTAATTTTATAATACCAATCAAAATACTGATAGCAATCTGGTCTCTATATGGTATTATTGCCAATAACCATCACATCATATTTATCCATTACAATAGTATAGTGATAATAATACAATGATATAGTGCTGAGAACACAAAAGTATGGTGATGTAATACAACAGGATAGTAAGAACATCTTATTTTTTTTTCTTTTTGCTACAGCTAATACAAATACTCTGTATCAATCATACACTAACAACTAGAGTTTTCATTTTGTCTTCAGTCTTTGTCACAGTAATTTGATAATCTTGGAATAAGCTGCTAATCATGGCAATGCCAATTAATCAAATAGTCAGAAACAATCAATTTAATATATTAACTCATCTTTCTTTTCCAATCCATTTGTGATATAACAGCTGTTTCTTTTTCTGTAGAAAAATCATCCCTTAAAGGACAGCATTAATCTTATTAAGATATCTCTTGATGTATAATGTTGATTTGAGTTATTTAAATATCCTCTCTTATGTTTTAAATACAATAACAATATAGTCAAAAGAAACCTTATTGGGAATTGAGAAAATTCAGTCTGCCCTTAACTGCTTGAACTTTTGTTTCATATTTCTATGCCTTCATTTCATTATTTTCTTCAAGACAAAAGGAATTTGAGTGACTCTTAAGTTGCCCTTTGGTTCTGAAATTATGGAAATACATATATATTTCATATATATGTTTGTATATTTATATATATAATATATATATTTCATATGTATGCTTGTATATATATATAAATGTATAATATACTTATATATTTCATATACATGTATATGAAATAATGTTTGAATCTTTTAATGAAACTTTACCATTTGGAATTTTCTATTAGATGTACTTTACAATTGATTCTGATATATACAGAGCAAAAACGACATTCCAAAATCTCCCCCTGGATATTAATTGAAGTAAGATTTAACTCAGAATCCATTTGATGCTAGGTTAACTGTGCCCTAGATATCTATAATTAAAGGATCATTTTATGGGCTGGTATAACTATTGTACAGTAAAAGCGAAGCTAACTTGGTATCAATACCTGAATCTCTTCACTATCTCTGAGATGTAAGATTCATAATAACATACTCATCATTTTTATGATTTCTGCTGACATAAGGCACAATTCTTTTAGTGGGATTTCTTCAGGTTGAAGGAAGCAAACGACAGGAAATAACTTCAAGCTCTGAACATAAATTTAGCTTTATTTGTTCTTTCTCCTTTCTGTTAATTAGCTTTCCATTAATGTGACTGAATACCTGATCTATTAATCTTATAAGGAGAAAAGGATTATTTTGCCTCACTGTTTCCAAGGTGCCAGTCCATGATCATTTGGCCTTCTTGTCTTTGAGCCTGTGGCAAGACAAAACATCATGGAGGATGAGTTTTGATGGACAAGGCTGCTCACTTCATGGCACTTCATGGCACCCAGGAAACAAAAGAGATAAACAGGAAAGGACCAGGGTCCCAATATTCCCTTCCAGGACACAACCATGCTCATCCTTCCATGCTCATCCATGGTGCCATACGTTGCTCCTCAAGCCTTTAACACCTGGGCTTTATCTGTATCCCTAACACCAAGAAAATGAGTGGTTTAAAATTACTTGTCCATTTATCCTTCCTGATGGAACTATGAGTGTGGTCTAGAAATGCAACATGCATGGGCAATATAAAAATAGTATAATAATTAGAAGAACATTAAATATTTTGAATCATGATGTTGTAATGAAGGTAATTTTACAGGCAGGGTTGATCAGGAAGTATTTTGAAGTTAGAAAATAGTATCTGGGCTTTCTATTTTGAATATAAACCTGTGTTGGAATTTGAAACAGAATTTTAAAATGGCAGTATTACTAATATGCTTTGTAGAGATCTACAAGACTAAGTTGGAATTTTTATCACTTTATTTCATTATTCAGATACTCAACAAATATGGGGAGAAAATATAGTCTGTTTTATGAACTCTTCTCCTTATAGACAACCTATAGTAAAAAGTGTCTGTATATTACACTGCCATATATATATGCCTAGCAGTTTTTAATCTTTCTGTTGTCTATTTTTCTTGTCTTTCTCCAAGTATACTCATGATATTTGTTTTCAGAATCAGAATTTATACTACAGGCAGTATTTTTTCTGGAATTCCCAGTCTCCTGATGATGGTACTACAAAGATACAGAACAGCTTAAACTGACTCTCAGATCCTCTCTGCTCTGTTGTCATTCTGGTTTTCTCTCCATGTTGGTTGAGCATTTATCCTTTTTTCTTTGCTTTGTTTCAGGCAGGAAAAGTTCAATTTGGTTACGTGTATGGCATGAGTGCCATTGGCTGCCTTGGGATTCATGCCTTACTGAACTTGATGAGCTCTGCAGGGGTGTCATATGGCTGTGTGGCCAGTGTGCTAGGTTACTGCCTGCTTCCCATGGTCATCCTGTCCAGCTGTGCCATCTTCTTTTCATTACAGTAAGTGTCTGTGTGCACTGATGGACCCCACATGCACAATCATCATTAAGGCTTGCCAGACCAGTGCAAAAGTTAAGCTCTTTCTGATCATTTTGGCAATGGAATTGGGGAAACCATGTCTATTAAAAGCTACACATGGATTCAGAAAATTAGATTGGTTTTGGCTCAGGTGCTATTCCTATTTCCATGATTTAAAAAATAAATTAAGCCAAGCGATTTTTAAAGCTGGCACTTTCTAAGTTGCCACATTCTTCAGTGTGAACTATTGTCATGGGTAATATAACAACTACAGAAAATTCACTTATTTGATTTTGGAAGAGTAAATGCCTGCTGAACATTGACAAATTGCTTCAGCTCCCAGGCACTCTGCCTTCTAGGCTGGAAGCAACTGTTCTTTCTCAGCTGGTCTCCTTGCAGTGCAGAATTCCCAGGAACCCTGATGAGGATATTAATTCTGGAGAACTTTATAGCATATATACTCATTCAATACATTTTTAAAGTTTTCTTCCTTCACTTACACAGTTGATATTTGCAATTCAAAACTATGAATAAGGATACCATAGATACAAGCTTCTGTAGGGCACTTTCCAGCGTATCTGCCTATCACTACCACTTTGGTGAGAGAAAGCAAGTGATATCATAATTCTTGTCACCTGCCATGTTCCAAACCCACTTGGAAATAAATATTTGCCTTTAGTGTTCATTCATTCTTTTATATCCAAAGGAGAGACAAGTCTTAGGTTATTAATGACATTGGATAGGACATTAAGAATTTACCAGTGCAAGCATGAACAACTTACAAAAGCCTTTAATATTTTTGTGTTCATAGTTATAATTATTTTCATAATAAACAGTTGTTGCCATAACATTGTTGAGAATGCCTTAGCAGTACTCTTTTTGTTTAACATGGTCTCATTCTTAAAGTAATGTTCATTTAAAGCAATATTAATTTAGAGCAAACCCCTAGTTTATCATTGATCACTCAACATTTAAAAAAGAAGAAAATAACAGGAGATGGATACCTTGAATGCATTAATATAATGTGATTTATGTTTATTGAGTCTTATCCATGGAAAAAAAGTCCACATTTTGCATATTGTGTTCTTTAGCAAGTTGTTCCATTTACTGGGTTGCTTAGTACATAGGCTGGACATGATAGTACAGAGTTTGGGTTCTACTGCTACTTTGTCAGACACTTTGTAAAAGAATAGTATTTTGACCACTATTTAAAAATTCAAAGTTTTTAACATTATTTTCAGCAAAGTAGAGACTTAGGGCATTTTTGGGAGCTGCTTTAGACAGGAGCTACCTATACACTGTTAAGTCCTGAGTAAAGAGGTACTGAACTGGTATTGTACCCATTGCAATGCAATTGGACCTTACCTCTGCTAGGATAAGAGAGGTGTAGCTCCAGGAGTGGGCATCACCTGATGGGGTTGGATTACACCCACTAGTTTGTTGTAACCCTACCCCTTGTCTCACTTGAATGGCTTCTGCCAAATAAAACCTGGGTTCGGGGCATGCTCTTTCTATTTCTTGCCTGCCTTGCCCTCCTTGTGGAAGCTGTGGCTGAGCAGATGTCACTGAACCCAAAAAGGTACTTTCTGTGTCTATGTCTTTATTTAGTCAGCCAAAATTCACTTGGAGTGACCCTGATTGATTTAGTCGCATGTCCCCTCAGGACATTTTAAATGGTTCAGAGTATTAGGGGGAAAATAAAGAACTAAAACTCTTGGATTTGGTAAATCACCCAAAGTTTGCACTTTTTATTTTCATTCTGAAAGTATAAAGGATGATGTGTCTGAGAAATGTCTGAGAAAATCAACTTATTAAAAGGAAAGACTTATTTTGGCTCATAGTTTCAGTCAAAGGTTGCTTGGGTCCTTTGCTTTTGGGTTATGGAAAGTCAGAACACCATGGTAAGGAGCACATGGTAGAACAAAGCTGCTTACCTCATCACAGCTGAGAAGCAGAAAGAGAGAGAGAAAGGGGCTCCCAATATCCCCATTAAAGCCACGGCCCCAGTGACCTGATTTCCCCCACTAGGCCTCACCTTCTAAAGGTTCCAAGGCCTCCCAATAGTAACACAGGCTGGTGACCAAACCTTTAGTATTGAGCCTGGTGGGGACAGTTGGGATCCAAACCCTAACAGATGGTTTAAAAATATTTTAAATTATATTAAATGGGAATAACTATCTGACCTCTAAGACCATTAAAATTGCCTTTTTAGGCATATTACTATATCATTAAAATTAATTATATATAATTTTAAATCTTCCATCATGGAAACATACACATTATATCACTCCAGCAATTATTTCTAATTGGTTTTAATTAAACCAATTAATATAGTATTTGGTGCCATTAATATTTTTGTTTTATTAATAATCTAAAGTATTATAAGCTGCACTGTGCAATTTCTTATCTGTTTTACTTTTGTTCAATTATTAAAAGTTAGTATTTCTGTCATTCTCACAAATAATAAACAAATAAAATTCTAAACTTGAAAATATTCAAGTTTAGAATCAAATCAGGATCAAATGATGTTGTGTAGTTTGATGGTGGAAAGAACGATGCACTAGGAGTTAAAAGATCTTTGCCTAGCACCCACTTTGCCAGGTAACTATTGTCAAGTTACTTCATTGCTTTAAAGCTAGACACTAAATCCCGAGATTGTTCCTATCTCTTATGTCTTATTTTCCTAAATAATTATTTCTGTATTTTTGTACTATTATTATTTTGAGGAGGCGAGGGGACCCAGGGATGCTTTGCCACTGATCTGCATCTCCAGATCTTTTGAATTTTTATTTTGAGGCAGGGTTTTACTAAGTTGCTTAGGGCCTCACTAAGTTGCTAAGGCTGGCCTCAAACTTGTGATCCTCCTGCCTCACAATCCATTCTATTTTACACATGAGGAAAGAAATTTACTTTCTACCACCTCTACTTCCCTTTTTATTCTCCAGCTGGCTACACTAAACTATTTTATTTGTCCATTTGTTCTTAAAGTACAGATTGACTCCACAGTTACTTTTTGAAAATACCAATTTTACAAATTCTTTCCAGTATGGATGGATTAAAAAATTCTAAAAAGTCCTCATGTTAACCTATAAACTATGTACTTGGTGAGGCACTGGGAGGTCCCACAGATATGTGCTTTCCTATTCCATGGGTTCTCTATTTGAGCTGTGTCAGGGTTTTATATCTCTGACAAAAACCTGGGAGGTAGACCTGGGAGGAGTAGGTTACCCTGCTAGATTTGATCTCTATTTTATCTCTATTTACCTTTCCTCTCTGATCCAGTCATCTCACTTCTAATGTAAGGCAATTGTGTCCTTTGTCTTTGTTCCAGGGGCACCTTTGGAACCCTGTCAGCCCTGATCGTCATTGGCTGGTGTAGTCTCTCAGCCTCTAAGATCTTCATTTCGGCCTTGGACATGGAAGGACAGCAGCTTCTCATTGCCTATCCTTGTGCCTTACTTTATGGACTTTTCGCCCTCCTCACAGTCTTCTGAAGAATGTACGAGATGGCTTTGCAAGTCTCTTTTTTTTTTTTTTTTTTTTTGCTGTTCGGGTTATTCTGGAAGTGTATTAGCATTCCAGTTGGGTGATATGATTTCTGTTTTATTACTGTTGAGAGAATAATAAGCAGAGAGGCAAAACAGCACTTAAGGGTGGTGCTTTAATGGCCTTTTTGGTTTGAATGATGTTTTGCTTTCCAATTTGGTGCATTAAAACATTGTAAAATATTTTAAAATTTAAAAAAAGATATAATTGCTGAATTGATGGACACTAGTTTTCTAAATAATTTCTGAGAAATTATAAGTAAATAAAATCATGCTTACTGTTTAGAAGAAATCTATAGTAAAGTCTTCTGAGAAGTGTTCATGATTGCTCAAGCTGTGCATATGTGGCTGAATATTGTGCAGTTTGGCACCTTGGGAGAGTTCAGAGGTAGGTTATTCAGGGTTTTATTTAGCAGAGTGAAAAAACCTTCGATCTTTTAGTTCACTTACTTCAACAACTGTTCCTTGGTTCTGCTTAGATAATGTGTCAACTTTCTACTTTTTTAGTCCCTCGCTTCCATCTTACTTGGTTTAGATGCTATGGTCTTTGATTTAATTTCTCCCTTGCCTGGATCCTCAGTAAGCTTGCTGTTTTTCTCCCTAAATACATGAACGTTACTAGAGGCAATCCCATTTCTTTCATGATAGTTATATTATCATATCTGAAATGGCTCCTCAGTACTCTCCTTGAAATTACTACATTTTCATAGTAAATTTGCTTTCATGCTAAGATGACTAAATCACATCAGTTCTTTACTGCTCACATCTTCAACAATTATTCCTCATTTCTCACTGTGGGTTTATCTTTTTGTTAAAAAGAAAAGAAAAGATAAGAAACAGAAGGAAAGTGTTTCATCTTCCCACCACCCTCTGTATCTACCTACATGCATTGTGACCCTCTGTCACTATCTTCTGCTCTTCACAGTCAGCCCCTCCACTTGTATAACCAGTGTTTTCTCTTGACCTATCATTCATATCAGCACATAAAAAATGTTTCAATATCTCCTTTCTTAAAATTTAAATTTCCAATGTAGCTCATTTCTCTATTCCTTTTTGTCACAAAAATCCTTGAAAGATTTATCTGTTGTCTCTGCCTCTATTTTATCACCTGCTATTCTCACTTCCTCCAAGTCAAGAGTTCATCACCTTATCCATCAAGAACATACTTTATATACAGAGTTATGAAAAATTGTGCTGTATATGGGTAATAATGAATGTAATGCATTCCACTATTGTCATGTATTTAAAAAATAAATTAATTTGGGGCTGGGGATGTGGCTCAAGTGGTAGCGTGCTCACCTGGCATGCACCGGGCACTGGGTTCAATCCTCAGCACCACATAAAATAAAATAAAGATGTTGTGTCCACCAAAAACTAAAAAATAAATATAAAAAAATTCTCTCTCTCTCAAAATTAATTAATTAATTAATTAATTTAAAAAAAATCACCTTTGTCAAATCAGGTCAGAAGAGATTTCTCTAAATTCAATGGTCAATTCTCAGTCTCATTTAATTTCAGCTCTTGGGGTCTCTATTGGATCCCTCTTCACCAGTCTCTCCCAGTGTCGGTGCTGAGGCCTTTACTTCTTCAGTTGACTTCTGAAGTGCCATGTTCTCTGTTGATTTTTTTTCTGTTACCTTACTGTTGGCTCCTTTTCAGTCTCCTTGACATTCCTTTCTCCCATTTTTAACCTCAAATCTCTTCTCTAATATTCATTTGTTATCTGAGTTCATTTAATTGCATAGCTTTAAAAATCTAATGACTCCAAAATTTCCATCTCCATCCAACACTCTCTTCTAAACTCTTGAATACATATCCAATTTATACTTAATACTTCCATTTGAGTTTTAATATAATAAGCTAAAAAACGTGAGATCTGGAATCAAACCCTTGATTTCTAACTATTCAACCTGTTCTCCTCAAATTTCCTCATCTTTTTCTTTGAGAACCAGAAATCTACCAGTGGCTCCATCTACAAGCTAGTAGTCAGTCTTTGTTACTCTGATTTTCATGTCAACATCTAGTCCATCAAGTATTTTGACTCTTTAATCGAATACTTCTCAAGCATAAAATATGTTGCACGAGCTCCTTCATGGTCTCTTCTGTTGGCTAAGGAAAGAAATCTCCTAACTAATTTCCTGCTTCCAGGCTTTCTCACCAGGAAGTTTTTTCTACATTTCAGTATGTGTGCTCCTATGAAAATGTAAATTTAATTATGTCATCCCAAGTCCAAGATCCTTTTACAGCTTTAATTTATATTTACAATAAAACTCAGCCTGCTTTGTATAGCTCTACTTGTATTCAAAGAGTGGTCCCCAGAACAATAGCATGAGCATTCCCTGGAAGGTTGGTAGAAATTCAGAATCCCAGGCCCAGTCCCAGGCCTCATGAATTAGAGTCTGCATTTTTACAGGACCTCACATGATGTATATGCACATGAATGTTTCCTTAGCTAGCATTTGAACAACACTTGTGTTGCCTGCATGCTGTGACCAGGATTATCTTCTTAAAATTCCCTCCTTCCATTCTTTCCCCTTCTCACCAGTTTTATTGTTTCTCAAATGACAAAATGTATCCACCTTAGTATACAGTCTACCTGCAACATCCTTCATCCAGATCTTTCACATTGTTCAGGTCTCTGTTCATATTATCACCTCCCCATGGAGGCCTTCACTGCTTGTTCATTTTGCAACAGTTCATCCACCTACCTTAGCTTAATCTCTCCTATTACCTTATATCTTAGGGTAATTATTTATTACTGAAATTACATTATCCAAACTTACTTTATTTTCTTCTTTCTTTATCTTCCTCTGTCCCTCTGGAAGTTAAACAATCTGAAGCCAAAAACTCCATGTCTATACAAAATTTGTGACAAAGAACAGGAGATTAACAGGAGATTGTTTAGAGCGTGAATGAATGAGCAAATTAATAAATGAATAAGACTGTGATTGGATATTAGTCATTATGGTGAACAAGACACCTGAAACTCTGGTCCTTTGAGAATGGGGAAAAACAGATAACAAAACAATAGAGAAACAAGGTAATTACAAAAGTGTGAAAAGCAGCTAAGGTATGAATATGTGAAAAAGAGGTCAGAATTGTAGTGCATGTTAGATTTCTATAGGTTAACAAACCATTATTGGATCAGTTAATTAAAAATTATGGCATCTGGGACTGGGGTTGTAACCCAGTGGTAGGTCACTTGCCTTGCATGCATGAGGCACTGGGTTCAAATATCAGCACCACATAAATATAAATAAATAAAGATATTGTGTCCACCTATAACTAAAAAAATATTTTTTAAAAATTATAGCATCTATATAAAAAGTCATGAGAAGAAAATACTAAGTATTGCTGGGGCTGGGGCTCAGTGGTAAAGTGCCTGCCTTGCACGTGTGAGGCACTGGGTTTGATCCTCAACACTACATAAAAATAAATAAAGATATTGTGTCCATCTATAACTAAAACAAAGTTTTTTAAAAAAGAAAATACTAAGTATTTCCATAAAAATAACAAAAATAAAAGTAACAAAATAACAATTCCTCATGACAGAATTGTTAAATACCTAAGAATTTATATTAATATGTATATTAATATTAATAAACAGAAATATAGATGGTCTATATGATAATTATAAAAAGTTAGAGGTATATTTTAAGTAAACTTGACTATAGAGACATATATATTATATCCCTGAATGATAAAACTGGAATTCATAAAGAATCCCCCCCATATAAATGTGTCTATTTAATACAATTAAAACCAAAGAAGTATTTTGTTAGTAGTTAACAAGTTAATTCTAAGGTTAATCTGGAAACAAAGCAAATGTGTAACTGTGAAAAATTAGAAACTATCTAAAAACATATTCCAATTGAAAGTGAGTTAGCTAAACTATTCTTCATCTCTGGGATTGACTGCTAGGTGACTATGAGACTATTTTGGAAGAAATCTTGCATCAGGAGATGCAGGTACTAAGTTTTCACAGTTTGGCTATTTTCTGAAGACCTACTATGGGTTTGTCTAAATGCTTTACATGTATTAGCTCACAATTTTATGCAGTGCGTTATCATTTCCTCCATTTAACAAGTAGGGCTACTAAGTTACAGAGAAGCTAATCATTATTCAGTGAATGCCTAGAATTTGATCAGCAAAGCTTGATTCCAGAGCCCATAACACTGCTTGCTACCAGCTAGGAATGTGTCTACTGTTTAATCTACTCAAATTTATTCCTTCTTCTTGACCTTGGCTAATGCTATACAGGGTCAAAAGGCTTTAACTTCTGGGGGAAAATAAAACAATAATAAAATAGAAGAAAAATGTACATTGTCATACAGAATTAAAATGGTACCTGAATGACTCCTGGACCTACTGCTGAACTCTAGTTTAAATAAATGAGGCAGATTCAGATCTAGTTAGCATGTGGATAGAAAAATTTCACAAAATGTAGTTCTTTCCCACCATTCCAAAATAGATGAGCATTATATAGATTTGTGTAGATTGGAGGTATTTCTCTTATTAATTTTAAAAACAAATTATGAAATTTATTTGTGGTGAGAAGAGTGGGTTTTATAGGACAAATGATAAAGTGAATGGAAACTCATGGAGTACATTACATAAATAGAAATATCTTTTTGTTTTAATAGACCCCAGCAAAGATAGTCTCTCTTTTCCTCAAATGCTTTCAATTTCTTTTATCTGAGAATGTAACATTTTTTTCACTTTTCTGTCTTTACTGGTTGGATAAAAGTTACACATTATGTGTGAAGGATAAATGGCACACTTGGAGTCAAGAGATGGCCTTTATTTCTACGGGAATGATTGGGGACATGTGCTGAAAATAAAAGTCCTGAATTACTCAGACTCAAGCGCCCCAGTTCACAACAGTTTAACTAGGGCAATGGCCTTTGTAACATTTGATGACAGATGCTTTTCTAACCTGCTCTGCCTCCAAGTG